TACACCCGAGATGACTTTGTGCAACACAATAAGGCCATACCGTTATAACAAATGTTTTTTGAGAACAATTTGACAATTACATTTTCAGAATCTGTGGAGCTGCTAACTATCCTGTGTATAATTCCCATGACCACAGTGGAGAGTGAAAGATGTTTTTCGACACTAAAACGTATTAAAACATTTTTAAGGAACACTATGTGCCAAGATAGATTGTGCGCGTTAGCCATGTTATCCATCGAAAAAAAAAAAAACTTATTTGGTCCATTCCAAATGTTAATAATCTGGTCATCGATCACTTCGCTAGCCAAAAATCTAGAAGAATTGACTTCAACTATAAGAAATAGTATACCAAGCAGTTAATCTTCAGTTTTGTAATATTTAATTTGTTTTGAAATATATTTAATTTTCATTAAGCGGAGAACTTGTTTTCCTAAGGAAAAAAAGAATCCCGGGATTCCTTTCCAGTGTGTGCCCCACTGCCGCTAGTGCTTACGAGCCGCCACTGCAGTTAACCTTTTACTTCATAAGCAATAAGATGTTTGTACAGTGGTTTGATCCGAAGTATTTTAGAGTATTGCAGTACTGTTTGGTCTCTGTCACAAGCTATTTATGTCAACCGAATTAAACGAGTTCAAAACAAATTTTGTAAATATTTGCTATTTAAGTTTCACTTTCCATATCGGGATTTATCGTATGAAACGAGACTGCTACTCTGTAGTATGCAAACTCTTGAACGGAGACGCAGGGATGCAATCTTACTTTTGCTCCACAAAATAATTAATGGAGACATTATTTGTGAAAAATTGTTATGCCAAGTAAATTTCGTTGTTCCGTTAAGGCATACTCGTCAGTCACAACTATTCTTTGAGAAAACCCATCGTACAAACTATGGACAAAGAGCTTTCATGAATAGGCTTTTGTGCAACTATAATAAGCACTATTCTCACTGTGATATTTTTAATTGTACGTTATTATCTGTTAAGAGGATGCTCGAATTTTAAAATTTTAGGTTGTTTCTTGTCTTGTATGGTGTTAGACTTTGTTTTTTAGACGTTAAATGTATTTTAAAATTTCTGAAGAGTTTTTATATTTATATATTCCGTTTTTTTTATATGTATATACTTATACTTCAATTGTTGTTTTAGCTTTAAGACGGTGCCATTTGGAATTCACATTTCTGTAGTGTACTTAAGACAATAAATAAATAAATAAATAAATAATAGTAATAGCCGATCCTTCTCCCCACGAACTCAATCGACTTCTGGGGTTAAAATTCACTCGTAAGGAGATGAATAAGGCAAATTAATATTCATTATTATTACTACCGTACCTTAAGGCACTCCAAATTCTTCTCTGATTACACTTTGATAACCGGGATCGGCTAAGGATCGGCTAGATTACCACGACGTTTATAATGTTTGACGTGTCTTACTTTCACTACCTTAGCCATAGTAACACGAAAACACACATACACACTTTTAACTACAGAGATAAGTCTAAGTCTGCAACTGACTAGATGCATCATTTGGCAAGGATTTGCTTAAAAACTTAAGTAAAGGGTATACTTTATTAATACCTATTTACTTAAACGTCTACTGGATAAGCATTTGCTTTTGCTCCAAGAAGAAAATGTTGTGCTTAATTTTTATTAATACAACTCAAAGAATATGCTCCATATTTTGAAAGTAAAAGGTTTTCCCAGGGGGGTTTATAGCATATGCGCATTTTGTCAACAAGTTACTGCGCATCGAAACTGGCGTACGTCCGTTTACAATAACACAATTATATTTAAAATATAAAGAAAACAGAATAATTACAAAATATCTCAATAAAAATGTGTTAGTAACTTGCCAAAAGTAATAGTTTCACATTTTTTTTTTATTTATCTATCGTAAAATTGAAAAAGTATGAATTTATTCAATAATTTGTACAATGTAAATCTGGCTTTGGATAACAAAACCCAACGCTCGAGTCAACTCGATAGCCGAAACCCGAATGATACAAAATACAATATGGCTGTCTATGTAAACAATTCTAAGTCAGTTTTACTTTTATTTAATACAGTTTTAGGCATACTAGTCCAATTAAATAACGAAAAAAGCCCCTTCGAGTTTACATTAATTTGTAATTGGATGAAAAAAAGTGGAACTTATGCATTTTGATGTGATCTTTCCGAAAAAAAGCAAACAAAGATGTAGCTGCTGTTCAATTTTTTTTTAATTAGGAAAAACCGGGTTTTCCGAAATTTTCCATGGTAAAAATGCTAATTATCTGGGCAAGTATCATTCCGATAGTAAAAATAAATGCACCAATCGAAAGAGGAGGCAAAAATAGTTCGGAAACTCATTGCACAGGTAGTTTTAATGGCGAATTTCTCGACGCCAGAAGTGCTTTTACCAAAAAGTTGTTTTTTTTTTTTTCGTTTCTTTGATCAGAACCATGGACATGAAATTTGCGATGAATTTGTGACGAAATTATAAATTTTAGACATATGTGCCCATGAGAGAAGTTGCGTATTTTTGTGTTGGCTCTCAAATAAAATAAGTCCCGCGGCGAAATCTGCCATAATTTTTCGGAAATTCGCAGGAAACCAGAAGGAGTAGTTTTTTTAAATTTTTTTCCCATATGATTTTCTCCGGGTTTTCCGAAAACAGCTAACAACAAAATATATTTGAAAAAACTAACACGGTTATTAAAAATCTATGCCGATGAACACTATCAAGCGATTCAATTTGTAATAATTAGACCGTTTGAAGTTTAAATTTGTCGGATAGCGAATGCCGAGACCATGCGGCTATCCTTGATGCGACGTGCGGCTAATTTTGCGGTAATTCTATATTTTGCACAAAACGCAGGAAACGTCTTATAACAAGTCAGTAAAATACAATTTAATAAATTTTAAGTCTAACAAATTTAGGTATGTAAGAAATTTAAAACTGGAAATCGCAAAAAAATCAAATTACAGAAATGCAGTGTATACACGAGTTTTGGATCCCGCGGATCGCGTATAACAGGACTTTTGTCGGGAGAATTCTACAACTTAGAAGAAACATACACACTTTAAAGTTTGTATACACATTTAGAAGACATAAAATTTTGGTTTGCTCAATTTTCAGACCAAAAAACTGAAAATCGTCAATTTTAGGCAACTTTTCTCAAAAACCATGTTTTTTGGTCTTCACTCAATGAACAGTGGTCAAAAAAATAGATAAAATATTTTTGCAGAATTTTCCATAATCTAATCGTATTCTAGACACAATAAAGTACAAAAAAAAAGTTTAAAGCTATTGGGTACATTTTTGGCATTTTTGTACCACTTCAAACTTTCGAAAAAAAATTTAGTTTTTTTTAGGGAAAAAAATTTGTTTAATTGTTTGATATCTTGGCCAATTATAGTCCGATTTCGGTGAAATTTACACACACATAAGATTTCACATATAAAAGTAAGCTCTGTAAGTGGCATTAAAAACATTCAAATAGTTTGGCCGTTATAGACAAACAATGAAATTAGGCCCGCGGTACAATTTGACATTCCGCCATATGCCCAATTTTGGTATTTCTCTTGCCCCCTTGTGGGAATCAATAGTAACATCCCTCAAGTTTAAAAATGCATTTTTGTTTTGTCAAATATCTTAATTTTTACCAAAGTTATAAAGAATTTAGTGTTTGAACATTTAACAAATTCAATTTTTCGACCTTCGCTTCCTCAAAATACTAAACAAATTTCAATCGTACATACCGCGAGAACGGTGCATCGGATCAAAATTTCTCAAGAAATATGAAAATTACCATTTTTCCTAAGTTTTCAAATGTCGTAAACTGCGTTTTAAAAATATTGATTTATTTCCGACATGCGCTTGCGCAAAATTGAAAAATTGACAAAAATCCAGAATTTCGGCATTTTTGAAAAACAGCTACATTTTGTTTTGCCTTTTTTCGAAAAGATCACCTTAAAATACATAGAATCCATTTTGTTTAATCTAATTACAATTTATTGTAAGCTCAAAACCCGTAATTTAATTCGATTATACATTAATAATAATTTACTGTAAGTAAACTTATTTTGATACTTTTGCATGTTTATGCCCTATAAATGCATATATTTGATTGTAATAATAAATTGTTCTGGCCCATTTACACTGTTTTTGAACAAAATTTGTACTTTATTGTCAACTGAAAAACAGAGTTATTATTTGTATTCGTAATTGTGTTATCCCCAAATATTGAAATCCTTAACAAAGTTTAATTCTGATATTCATTTTGATAATAATTATCCTAGACATGCGAATTTAATTATATGTATTAACCAAGCTTTTTAGTCTTTATAAATCTAAAGAATTTTCATTACATAAAGCAAGAAAATCTTAATTAGACGTTATAGAAATTGGAAGTAGTAAATTAAAAATTAGTTAAATCGCTGCAAATGCAAAAGTAATTAGTCAGATACAATCAAAATCATGTGTTTTAAGAAGTTTTTCGCTTTCAACAATTGTTTTTTTTCTGTTCGTTTCAGGATTTATGGATGGAACTCTTGTTTTATTTCGCACGATTAAAGAAAAATTTTGTTCGTTTTGTGTGATTTAAAATAGTTGTTTATTCAGAAAATATATATTATGTTTATTGTTGTAACCAATAAAGATTCTACAAATAATATTTAGTTATAATACAATTTTTTATTATTTATTTTATACCTCTAAAATTATTTAACATAAAATTTTACATTTTATTAGCATTTTTTAACACGCATGAGATGCGTGTTAAAAAAATGCTATTGAAAATGTAAAATTCTTTTATTTTGTCGAAGTAAATTCAAAAGCCCGCCAATTTTTAAATAAAAATAGCATTACAGCTTTTTATATTACCGACTGAGTATTAGTTGCACAAAACTATCCACTATGTCGCTGAAGACAAACATGTTGCCAAATTTCTGTGTGGAATCTGCAACTTTTATTTATCCTTCCTCCATGGGTTTTCCATTGTTTTAGGTGTACTATGAAAGTTTTTATTAACAATTATTATTAGTTTGAATTGGTGATAGTATTGTTAGTCCAAAAGATACCTACAATCTACAATATAAGTTCTCGCATCAAAGTCTGCAGGATATCATTTAATTTTTACTTTTTTTTCTTTTTATATCGATGTTATCAAATGTATATTTAGATGGGTACATCCGCTTAATTTAATATGTTATTTTAAAATAAGAATGATAAACAGAAACTGTCTTTGATAACAGATTCACGATAATGTAGGTACGTTATAAGCTAGTATTTAATTTGTGCTGTTTAGTAATTAAATCAATTTAGTTTAAACAATTTTTTTTTTGTAAATTAGTTTGTAACCAATGGATACAGGGTGAGTAAGATAATGTACCTACTTTAAATATAAATATTTCGGCGTCAAAAAGTATTTAATTTATTTTTACTTTGTTTACTTTCTGTATCTAATTATACAGGGCGCTATTATAATACAATATTTATTACCAATATATTATACAGTATCGGCCACTAAACGTTTTCCAATACGTTCTGCAATTTAGTTTTTCGGATCTCAATTGATTGTTCTCACTTCAATTTTCTCTCATTCAAAATTTAATTATTGTTGTTTACAGTCATTTCCATAATTTGTGTTTATAATTCGTACTCGTAAGTTATATATTCGAAATTAATATAAGTAGGAAAATGAAACATTAATTTTTAATAAAATACAAAAAATAAAATATACACCTTTAGGAGTATGGCATATACATTTGTATGCCACACTTCCCATAAATGAATTAAGATCTACTTTATTGGTGAACACTATCTAGGAGTTGATTTTTTAGATTGTTTTTGTGGCTCAATGAAATATTTGAGGAACATTATAAAGTTCATTTTGTTAATACAATAAAGAACAGTGTACAACTGATAGAAAAAGCAAAGCTGTCTAGGTGAATGACAGAGATTACTTAATTTTGTTAGATGTATTAAATCTTTTTACTAATGTACCTGTTTCAGAAATTTTAGTTCACATTACATCCCATTTGTGTAACCTTAATTTGCCAGATCATAAAATTTTGAACTTATTAATAATTAGTCTTGAACAAAATTTCTTGTTTCTTGTTCTTAATTCATCCAACTTTAGGTAGGTACCTCTACCTTGGTTGGGTTTTTTAACCGTTAAAGAAAAATAAAATCTCTTGGAATAAGTGTTTTATATATAGTTACAGTGACTTTTTATCTTTGTATTTTTAAATTACGTAGCTCGTCCTTAATGGATATGTCATGGTAAATCAAATTAATATTAAGATCCCCTTTTGTACTTTGTCCTAAACAATCTTTTGTTTAATTTTGTATTAAATAATTTTCACCTTTCAATACATTGACTCCTTGACTTTCCAGTTGGGTGTGCCTGATGATAAAGTAATCATATGGAGAAATAGATAACCTTTCTTTACAACTTCGTACTCAATCCCATCCACTCAACCATAAGAAAACAAATGACTTGGGCAAAATATGGTAAAACTAATCAAATGATTTAGACAAAATCTTGTAGGATTTTAACAAGACCAAAAATATATTGTTAAACTATCGCACAATTATTATGATCACTCAAATTCACTATAAAAAGAAAACAAAAAATACCTTATATTAAAAAAAATACACAGCGGCAAAGGAAACCCAATAGAAGCCTTTCAGGTTTTAAGGTGCCGCTGAAAGAAAAACAAGAATACCAACCCTAAAAAATATGCTTATATAAATTCCATACTAAATTCAATAGAAGGCAATGTTTTAAAATTGTTCGTTTGAAGAATACTCAAAGAAACTATTAAAAAAGAGAGAAAAAACAAAAAGCAACTTAGAGCCGGCAAATGCATATTCTTTTTGCGTTTTATTTCATATGCGCTTTTATACACGTAAGGATCTTTCCGTGTACGATTTTGGCCGTGTGCGCATTTTTCTACGTGCGGATAATTTGTTTGGCTTATATGACTGATGTCACGAAAAAAGGTCGCGAACATTTGGTCGCGCGAAAAAATGTCGGGCACAAATAGGCGCGTGTCAAAAGGTCGCCGGCGAAGAAAGAGCGCCGACGAAAAAAGGTCGCGAGCAATTGATCGCGCGAAAAAAAGGCGAGTAGGAAAATAGCGCGTAACAATGTTGATATTTCTATTATTATCTTTTATTATCTTTTATTATCTTTTAATCCCAATGAAAAATAATCATTGGTCTTAAAGTGTTATAATGAGGGCATCGTAATAAGAAGGGTTTGGTAAAATTTAGTATTCATAGATTTGTTTTGAAAATCTTTATATTGCAGGTAACCTTTTAAAGTATGTTTCTAATACCTATTTATTAAAAAAAAAAACGATTTGTTTATTATTACTTTAGATAATTACCAATAAGCATTGGAAAATCAAACTTTCCTTTTTTAGTTTTTTTTTTTAGTTTTTTTACTTTTTTTTAGTTTTTGTTGGTTTTTTTTTGTATTTTTTTGTTTTTTATTTTTTGGGGTTTCTATTTCTGAAGTTGAAAGTTATGAGCAATGCCCCTTAAATATTCCAAATTTGGACGATTGCCATATTGTTCACAAATGGATTTTATTCGTTTTGCCGTATCTTTATACTTTTTTTTCGTTGCTGTTCGTTTCCAGCTATATACTGCTCAACTTTCAAACAATTTAAACTCTCCTCTTTTTTTAGCGTATTGATAAATTTCCATAAATTTGGATGTGCTGCATTTAATATAGAGGAGAAACTGTTGTGCCATCCCTCCACAGAATTATTTGTACGATGTATATCTTCGTTTATAAATTCAAAGCAATTCCACAGATTTCTTGAACATTGCGGTTGTCACCTCTGGTATCGTCAATCTAAGCGGCCTGTCCATACATCTTCAAAATAATTTATAAATGGCAATAGCGTATCTTCATTTTGCGTGTAAAATTCGCTGTCAAGTAACTCTTCAAACGTTACAACATCTTCTTCGGGTAAGAATGCAAGAGCTGCCAGTTGTCGCAGATGTAGAGCAAAATTTGCGTCTTTTGTATAAATAGGTTGCAATCCTGCACCTTGCATGTTTGTCCACAAGCATTGCATAAACTGAAAGAAGCAGCCACGCAATCTGACTTCAGGAAACTGTTCTTGTATGGCATTAATTGCTGCCATTTCAAAATCCACCATTATTGTTGCAGGTCGTAAACCTGGTCTTAAGGTTTTTAATTCTTGAAATAGGCGTGTATATGTCTCGGTAGTCTTATTGGGAAGAAGAGCATATACAGTGGGTACAACGTTGATGTACTGTACTCCATGGATTGTATACAGCTGAGCAAATATTAAAGGAGCACACGTAAATGTTCCATCAGCATACCAGTGATCACAGTTCTCCATAAAAGTTAAATTTTTTTCGGTGGAAAAAATCAAAATTCTGTCTTCGTTTGGGCCACTATCAAATAAAAGAAAAGGTTCGCCATTGCTGCTTATGGTGTATTCTTCTGGAATAACAAGCTCGGATAAATATCTAGGATTTGCTGGAATAGCTTCCTTTTTTTGACGTGTGTGTTGAATAAGTCCGCTTTAGGGATGAAATGGAAGGTAATTTCCCAGTTGCACCTAAAGAAATTTCTTGTGAAACAGTAGCCAATATACCTTGCGTTGTTAGTTCAACTTGTTGCGCCATTTCTTTTATCTTATTACAAGCTTTCTTTGCTTCTAATTTGGCTGCATATGCAATATGGTTGTGGATGTACTTTTTACTGCTGCATCTCCCACAGTGTGAACTCTTCCGGTACATTTCCACTTATTGTATTGGGCACACTTCCAAATTGTCTTTTCACCTATCAATTTCTCCTTTCTATGGATAAAGCCATTGTACACTAACATATTAGCACCTTTTTGACTGTTTACGTAAGTTAGAACCATCTTGACAGAACGACAAATCTATGAATACTAAATTTTACCAAACCCTTCTTATTACGATGCCCTTATTATAACACTTTAAGACCGTATTTAAAACCAATTAAGTAAAATGTGAAATAAATGATTGTTTTTCATTGGGATTAAAAGATAATAATAGAAATATCAACATTAAAGCCTTATTAACAGCTAACGGGGTTGTTTGTAATAAGATTTACTTAGAATAAGTAACCAGCTTATTGGTAATTATCTAAAGTAATAATAAACAAATCGTTTTTTTTTAATAAATAGGTATTAGAGACATACTTTAAAAGGTTACCTGCAATATAAAGATTTTCAAAACAAATCTATGAATACTAAAGATAAAAATAGAAATATCAACATTGTTACGCGCTATTTTCATACTCGCCTTTTTTTCGCGCGATCAATTGCTCGCGACCTGTTTTCGTAGATCCTATATGACTGTGCGCTTTTTTTGTGCGGCTGTTTCCCTTGCATTTTTTCCGGAATTCGTTAAAAAGGTACCTACTAATACCATCATTTCAATTTGTAATCGATAGTATAAGTAATCTTTCAGAATTATTAAAAGGATTGATAAATGAAACACAATTTAAATGTTTGCTCATAAATATAATAATAAGGCTAATAAATGCCTTTATTGGCCAAACTAAGTACCTAATAAAAAGAAGGAAAAAAAAATAAATACAAATAGTTGGACAAATGGTAGAGTTCAAAATCTCATAAAAATCAGGGTTTTGCTCTTCCAGTTAACCAGTATTATGATAGACATACCTATATATCTTCCGATGTACATATAGATGTACCCTGCATGTTCACTTAATAATTATTGAATCTAGCGCACAATATGGCTTTACGAACATGAGAGAAAAAAAATTGAAAACCCAAAACCGTAAACAACTTAACATCTTAAATTAAAAAATAAAATCAGCCAGATGAGTATGAACCAGTAAGTATATCAATAATAACATTAGAATAATACTAATATAATAAAAACAAATATGAAATTAAAACTTATCTAAAAACTATAACTATCGACCTACAGAGTTTATTAGTAATTTACTATCTAGCATCACATTTTTTAAGTTAGAATTGAATAAGATATGATCTGTGAATAATTTTAAAGTCATCGGGTAACCAGTTGTACAGCTTAACAATGGTATAAGAAAAGCAATCTTCAAACAAAACTGATTTATGTTTTGGCATAGTTAGACAACCTCTTAAACTATAAAAAATGCCGAATACAACAATTTTATACTCGTTGTAATCTTAATTGATCCCTTTTCAAAAGCCCAGGCCCAAATACTACATCCCCATAATTTAAGTGGGATAACACGAGTGCTTCACAAAGCATAATTTTTGTTTTTTTTTATTTAATACACTCCTGCTACCATATATTAGTTTTAGATTTGCAAAAACTCTTCGAAGCATCATTATGACATGATATGTAAAAGGTAGATCGAAATTAACCATCAAGCCTAGGTTTTTGACAGAGTTTACGATATTTTACTCATCTCTTCCTACATTTAGTTTTAATTTTCCGATACATCTATTTCGAAGAGCGCTTTTTCCAAAAAGTATGGTGACTGATTTAGTGCTATTAATTGAAATACGAAATTTATTTGATATATTAACGAGATACTCAATATCTTGATTGATCAGTTGACAAGCAATATCGATGTTTTCCTCAGAAAATATATGATATAATTGTGTATCGTCAGTATAAAAATAAGACGAGCAGAAATTAGTTTTTTTTATAAAAATCTAATGTATATATTATAAATAAAATAGAACCTAAAATAGATCCTTGCGGCACTCCATTGTTTACTTATGAAAACAAAGAAGAAGACAAATTTTAAATTACAGCTTGTTGACGATTACTTAAATAATTACGAAATAAATTAACACTATTATTAACACAACCTATAAAATGCAAAATTGATGAGAGCAATTGGTGATTTATTCGATCAAAAGCTTTCGAATAATCTAACAAACTTAACGCGACCATTTTATTTTCATCCAAAGCATTATGAATATCATCAGTAACTTTTAACAAAGCTGTAGTACAATTGTGCAAATATCTGTAACCGGACTGATGAGGAGGTAAAATATTATTGATGTTCAAAAAAGATATTAGTTGTGTATTGATTAGTTTTTCAAAAGTTTTAGAAATTGCGCATAAAATACTAATTGGTCTCAGATCTTTAGGACTACTGGGATTTGACATTTTTGCCAATGGGATTAAAAAAAGCACGTTTCCATATAGCAGGGTAAACATTCTTAATTATGCAATAGTTAAAAATATGTAACACGTAAGGTAATATGATTGGAAAACAATATATTTATTAAAAATTTTCTTACATAAATAAGTTAGATTAGGCTCTTAAATTATAATTTAAAAACTATTTAAAATCATACATTTTTTTTGTCATCATGTAAATTCATGAATGTAGAAAAATTTATGACAAGTAATATTAATTTTAGGTTTTTAATGCAAAATTGAAGATTTTGACTTGTTTTGACTTTATTATGAGCAGAGATGAGAAAGATCGGAGGAAGGTATTATAATACATACATACATTTTTTAATTACTTGGCAACCCTGTAATATTTTTCGAAAATAATATACAATTTAATACAGGATTACCAGACTTTTCTAAAACTGAAATAAAATACAAGGTGATTTATTAAAAAATAATTTATTAATCAAACATGTATCATCCTGTTTATTCAAAAATATTTTTAAAATATGCCTTTTTCATATTCATGCAATTTTTATCTAAAACTTGTTTGCCTGTGTATAACACAAATTGAAATTTCGAGCAATTACTCACTAATAGTTGTTTAGATATTATTGAATAATTAGTCTTTACATTTTTTCAGAACTAAAATAGCTGTCATCTTTATAATATGCAGTTTTCAAAGCATCGCTTCAGCAGAAAAATGTACAAGACCAAATGTGAAACGACAACAAGTGTTCATCTACAGAACCATAGGCAAAATAAACGTAATGGTGTATCGTTGCCTATACAATGATACCAGAACAGCATATTCCGATATATCCGACTATTGTCTATCTGCAATTAAAACTAAGAAATTTGTGGACAAATGGGATCAAACGCATAATTTTGAAGATAGAAATTCACCAATGGTTTTGGAACAGTATCCTGCTACAGCGGATCCATTACTAAATATTATTTATTTAAGGTACATTTAATGTCTACTACATCGTGGTCCAAATTATAAATGTATTCTTATTAATAACAAATTTGAGGTGAAATTTGTGTTACTACAACAATTTCTGTTGTTAAAACTTTTCTTTCTAGGGTATTAGAATTTAATTGAAACTTCAAACTTTGTTTATGATTTCAAAGCTTCTGGCCCCAAATTATAAAAAATATATTTTTTAATAATATCGACGTAGCATTTTTCGTAGGCGGAAGGTGGCTACCACGAGTTTAGAAACTTTAAAGTTTATCGCCAAAGTTTCTGCCACGTAATAGGCACGGTTCTACCACGTGGCGGTAACCAAAATGGGGAACACTTTCTTGGTGGCAACCACGTTCCAGCCACGTTTCCGGAACTTATATAATCACGTTTACGCCACGTAGCGATAACGGGGCGAAAACGTGGTGGCACGGTGGTCGACACTAAATACTGATCTTTGCTTACTGCCCTTGTCTTTTGATTAATATTTGTAGCTCGGTCTCCGTCCTGCAAATTATTTATTTCATTCTCCTTGCTTATTCTCTAACTTGACATAACTAGTAAACTAATAAGTAGGTACATACTGAATAATAATAATAATAATAATAATAATAATAATAATAATAATAAGGTGTTATAAAAATATTTATTCAGGAATTCTGATAGGCAAAAAGTTGGAACGATTGGAAGTTTACTGTCAAATTAAGGTATTGACATACTCTATATTTAATTAAACAGCTAAAATCTTTAAATTTTTCATCTTCGAAATTATTTATTTAGATGCCTTAAAATAAAAATCAATAAATATATTTGAATTTTATTGCTTTGAAGTTATACAGACGAAAAAAAAATTTTAAATAGCACCTTTATATTTTTTCATAATGGCGATCTTAAAAATGGTTACAAATGTGTCTGCACAGGCACCGAAAGATTTCCAAGAACAAATTGGAGTACAGGCATTCATTGATGGACTACAAGATGTGGAAATGCAGCAAGCCCTTCGTCTACAACATCACAAGACGCTTAGGGAGAAACTGATTGCAGCTTAGGAATATAAAGCGGTAAAACTCATATCCAGATCTTCTCGCGCAAAAGTGATAAAAATTAAATCCCAAGAAAGTGAGGAGGCCAATACTAATGCTATTCCCAAACCTACCCTCTCACAAATTTTAAATATCCTGCAAAATATGCAACGAAATAGCCAAAATGAGAACAGAAGATGCTTCAATTGCGGAAGAATTGGGCACCTTCAAAGAACCTGTAGCAGCAAAGCTCTTTCTATAAATAGAGAATTAGGGAGTGAGACCGGAAAGTCACATAGATCAATCTTCCGAAGCCCGTTACGAAGTCCAACAAGAAATAGTCACAGCAGCTATGCGTCCCGAAGAAGCCAATCACTCACACTGAGCCGGTTTTCTAGCAACAATCAAGAAGTAGAGCATCGTAGAGGCCGTCTCCATAGCAACGCAAACATTCTCTCCAGGGGACCCTGTTTAGAACGAGAATACCAGTACAGTAAGGGGCTCGGAGAACGGGAGGAACCAGTTGATAAAGTTACCCTATTAAACCAGAGGGCGACGAAGAAGAAAGCACCCTTGAAAGCCTGAGAAAGGGGCAGAAGAAAGACAATGATTTGAAAGTTGTTCGACAATGGCTCTAAAATAAAGTTACACCTACTTGGCAAGAGATAGCCAAATACAGTGTAGCTATTAAAGGGTACTGGATTCCCTGTATCTTCACGGTGGCCTATTGCACCGGAAGTGGGAAAGCACTGATGGAGTACATGTAGTACGCCAAGTGGTACTGCCAAAATCACATGACAGAAGTGTGTTGGCGGAGCTTCATTGTAGCCGTTCAGGAGGACATTTTGGCACTAAAAGAACACTGGCACGAGTTCGGGAAAGATTTTATTGGGGTCACTTGCCCACGGGATGTAGCGGATTGGTGTAAAAAATGTGGTGTGTGCAATGGCAGGACAAACGTTTACGGATTTGCTCTGGAACGACTAAAAGCCAACAGCGATACAGTAGAAGCTAGAATCGACAGGCATGCCACAGGGACATATTTTGAGAGAAACGACCCAGTACGGCTGGGCAATTCCAAGCATCGAGAAGGATTTTGTTAGAAATAGCAACGGAACTGGGAAGGCCCCTACGCCGTCCTTAAGGAAAATCAACGACCTGATATACCGCATTCAGCTGTCAGCGGGAAGTAAATACAAGCTAGTTCACATTGGGAAGTTAGCGCCATGCCGTGGTCCAGATCCTTTCCGTTAGATCTAACCAGGTCCCAGTAGTCAAGTTATTCGGGGCGAATAACTAGAGAGGAGGGAGCAATGTTACGCAGCACCATGTAGCGTGCTGCGGTCATCATAAGTAAAGGTACGAGTAAATGAAGAATATAGAATATTCCCAAAATGTCATTCCTTGTCAGATTGTTCGAGAAGGTTCTGGAAGGTCGAGGCAAGCTATATAAGGCGACGACCTGACGTCAGAGGGCAGTTTTATGATAGACGTTAAACGTTAATGTTATCAGTTGGAGTTATTGTACCAGTTGAATTGAGTTATTGTAAAAGTGTCAAAGATATTAATTAACGTTATTAAGCCACAAAAATAAATTGGAACAATATTAAAAAAAAAACAAATTTATTCTCAAAAGTTTTAATATAAACTGAAACCAGGACAAAATAATTAATATTTTATTTATTCTAAATTAGATCGTCTACTCTATTCTTATATATTTTCTGCTAGTATTTTTATAATTTACAACACATCAACTGCTATTGCTTTTTGTTTTGTTTTTACCTACCTACTTTAAAAAAAAATAAAATGTATAGGTACGTGTAAGATATGAATATGGAATAAATATATTCAACCTATAATATTCGTCAACTGTATTAGCCTGAATATTATTGCTATGAGATATTTGTCCGTAATTCGTAGTATTTAGATTTCTACACCTGTCATGTTTACCTATACCTTCTATTCTTTAAACAATTCAATCAATTTAAAGGCTACCTAACATATTATGCCTTGTGTTTATTGTTATGCGTACACGGCGACAATCGACATTATGAGCCAGTAACAGTTGTGTGTAATTGTGTTAGTTACGTAATTTTACCCTATACAGCGTTGTCAAACTGTGGCACATAGTACCTACCTAACGAAATATCAGTAATTCATAAATTAAGGCTGTATGTTACGAAATTAAATTAAGTACTAAATATAGAACTAAATTAATGCATTTTTTAAGTACTAAAAAAAATTTACGGTGCAAACAGCAAATTTAGTACCTATTAAATTTAGTACTAAAAAAATTAATTATTTAATTGGAACTTGTTCTATTTTCTACTAAATTTAGTATTAAAAATGCGTTGAAACGTTGCGCAGAAGTTTTTCTCAGAAAAAAGTTGACGCAACGGTCTTTTCTGCACCATTTTGTTTTTTGTTAGCGACAACTTTGGATTATCGCCTTTGACAAATTTTGCTTGTTTTATTTTGTAGGTTTTATTATATTTTTTTGTGATTTTTAGTAGCATTGCTGCATTTGGTTGTTGTCAAGTCAACTAGTGTCAAAGTCATAATAAAAACATCTTTTAATTCACTTGTCTCATTTACACAGAATGTTTCATTTCTGTGCTAATTTGACGTAATAATATGTCAATGCGAGTGCGCATATACTTAATTTAGTACTAAAAATTGGTATCGTTGCAAAAGGAAAAAAATATTCTTAGTTCTAAATTTAGTACTAAATTAATAACTTAATTTGGGGTTAAATTTTAGTACTTAATTTAGGGCTAAATTTTAGTACTTAATTTAGTATTGTGACATACAGCCATTACGCGTTGCACAGTCGTAAAAGCCAGGGGGGTCGCTGCCCCCTTCCCCCCCCCCCTTCAAACGACGCCCATGATCGCAGAGGTAAGGTTTGTTTCTATTCTTTCTTGTTTTGTTGATTCCACAAACTCATTATAAAATGCTTTATTCTTTATGTTTATGACATTCGTCTTTTTTCCATTAGAATTTTCTGAAGTTTTCCGCGAAGTGACAGCTTAGTTGCTCGCCGAGCGGAAAACTAAACAGCTTTGTTTCTCTAATTTAAATTAGATATAATATAATATTTATTTTTAATAAATGATTTACAAGTTATTTGTACGTATTTTGATGTTTTTTGTTTTATTATCTAAGTTAAAATTGACTCTGAATATCAACTCCGTTTTTCGTGATTAACGTAGATATAGGCAACACATTATACACTACTTACGGCAAATATTCAGTTTTTATATCTATTTCTTAAAATACTGTGCCCTAGTAATTATAAATACCGCTAATTAGTTTTACGGTAGATATACGGTTCAGTTAACAATTTAAAAGGCGTTACAACTAGCGTATATTTTTGTACAGTCAAGAAACCGTACGAAATTAGTGACTGGGCGTTGAAACAAACCTATTATAAAATAGACAAAATTTAACATAACTTGGCACAATTTTTCGATTAGGTACTTTGTTGAGAACATTATAAAATTCGAGAGACGCTAAAATGGTGGTTCCCACCTTATCGAGATTGAGACTTACAAGGGTAAACTCGTAGTGTAACAAAAACGAGAAATGATTTAACTTGGAAAGAAATACCGAAAGCCGATAGTAGTATTAGCACGTTGAATTTTTTGGTTTGTGAAGCATTGGAATTACTTAGGTTAAACGATGTGATGATTTTCACAAGCCTTGATTTTTAAAACCATTCTATATCGCCTTTTGATTAGGGTTTAAAAACTTGTTTAAGCAATTTATCCAATACTAATTGGCCCCTTTACCTCTTAAGCCTGCTCATGTAAAATATTTGGGCTTCTTACTTCGCCTATTTATATTCTATTAATAAAGGACAGAAGGATTAGTATTGCAACTATGTTAAAAGAAATAAATTGGCTTTCAGTTCAGAATTATGTTCAGTACATGACTGATATTTATTTATAAAATAAAAATGACAGTACCATCGCATCAGATCTATTAGAAAAAATTCAATATATTTTTAATCTGATTTTCATATACGGCAAGCCATAACTAAAAGTTCCCAAAATACAATTTTTATTACAGATTTAAAAAATTTAATAGACTGCCTACAGAAATTAAAAAAAAAAAAAACAATAAATGTATTTAAAAGTAACCTCAAACAATACTTGATAAATAAACAGAATGGATATACTTTCTTGTGATAATACTCTTATTCCCTTAATTTATTGTTATTTTACCCCTCGTGTATCCGCATTTATTATAGATTATTTGTTTCGAAAGCATGTACTTTATTTTAAAATATCACTTGTTTAAAAAAATTACTTAATGTTATATTAATACCACTTACTATGTTTAAATTATTAATAGTTTTGTGAATATAGATTATAGCAACTTATAGCCACAAAACTATTTTTGTGTTAAAGTAGATCCATAGAGAGCAATGTAATTTGCAAAAGCCCTCTTTCAACATACAAACAAATGACAACTTTATAATTAAAATAAAAAAACACAACAAAATACCGTGGTATCATAAATGATCCAAATTTGAAATGGGCATTATATCCTACCTCTCTTTTGTATAATAAAAAAGTGCTTTGTATAAGAACATTATATTATCTGTCTTGCTGTACTTTTATTTATGGAAAGCCCGAATTAAGTTATTTATTATTTGCAATAATTATCAAAAGAAGTATACATTTTTAAATAATTTGACATTTAAGAGCCATTCACATATCACAGTTGACATCTTGATACTTGATAGGCACAGCCAAGCATTATTTTGATTTTTCCAAATAAAATGGCCGGTTAATTATTCTATGGGGTTGCGACAGAGAAATTTGATGAAGGTGTTTTTGTGGCTAGAGTAGTAGTATGCTTAATAACACCACCATAACGAGACATTTTTAAGGAACTGCTTATATATTTTTTATAAATTGGCAGGCTTCGCAACTAATTTCGAATGAAAATATCCTCCAAAATGGCTATATAGTTGCAAGTATGAAGGTCGCAACCCGCCTTAGAAATTTCACCTTTACTATCAACAGCTGTTGTTTGACAGGTCGTTAGACAATGTTTGCAATTTATGGAATGTGAAGAATGTTAGAGAAATTCCTAAAATTGTTCACACAAGGAATGCATAGGCGGATTTTAAGAAAATTGTTATTAAAGTAGTTTCTAAAAATCAATAGGATTCTAAGTTAGAAGTAATTATTCAAGAAAATCAAAACCGCTAGTCAATAAGAACTTTCGTTCTAGAGTTATCGTGCCAACATACATACATACATGCATACAAACGACAAGGCGAAAAATTTTTTTTTGGATTTTCGGATTCAGAATCATTAGAAACATGAAAAAAATTTTTTAAAAATGGGGGTCAGAAAATTTTTTCGACTGCACGAATGCAATACTGAAGCCCCATAAGAAGGGCCTCAGTAATTGGTACAAGAGGGCAGATTTAATATTTTCTGGAGAATAGATTATCTATTGGGTCAGTATTGAGATGCCTAATATCATAATATTCCACGCAATGAAATTCTGTTCACTTTTGTTGTAATAACAAGTATCTTTTTTTTTGATAAATTGACGCATTTTTTGACGCCTTCTATAAAATAAATCTATGTAACTACGAAATTATAATTTTTATACATAATATTGAATGTAATAAAATAATAAACTACTCCTTCTTTTAGATCCGGCACCGTCTGCAGATTTGATAGAGGATTTTGCTATGATCCAAAGGAAACCATAAGCTACGCAGCTGTCTGGAAAGTTATTCCCGTACCTTCAGAAAAATGTCCTAACAAATTAGAACAAGTTTTCTATGGGTACGTTGACATGTGGAGTTTCTCGGCAGAGCACCAAAAATATTTATTTTTCTATGATACTAGCTCAGATAAATCATTTTCCTTAAAACTAACAAATGCTTCTACGTGTTACCGTAAACCAGTTTGGTTCACTAATGAAAGGGGATACATTGTTTCACGTGACAGTTTAACGCAATATTATAGCTCTGTAAAAAAATTAGATAAACAATACTTTCCATTAAAGTCAAAAAGTGTTGTAAGCGAGTCGATTTTAAAAGATTGTGATTTAAGTGCACACTCTTTAGATTTTGAACAAATTAAATCCGATTACTTAGGTGATCCAAAAAATTTAAAAATAATTTTTAAACTCCACCAAAAACAAATTAAAGACAATAATAATTATGTCTTAGAATTTGATAAAAATTTGAAAAAAATTCATGCATTTTTGGAAAGCCAAGGAAAAGATGTAAATAGTAATAAAATAATGCTTGCTTTGTATAAAACAAAGTTTGATTCATTAAATAATTCAAAAAATTCTCAAAATGTGAAAGGTAATGGTTACCACTATAATGATAAAGATCTGTTAGAGAAGATTTCAAAAATGGGCGATACTATTACACATTTGAAAAATTCTATTCAAATGCATTCATCGAGTAACCAAATTAGTAAAGAACATTTAGAACATGCAATTGCAAATCTTAAAATCGAATTAAACAAAAATTACCAAACTTTGAATAACAATTTTTCTAATTCTATTCAATTTGAAATTAGTAATATAAAAAAGCTTGTCTCCGAAATTGAAAATACTGTTTTAAAGAAACTTGAACCGAAAATAGTATCTGCTAATAATTATACTAAAATTTGCAACGAAAAAGTTGAAAATATAAATAATGAAATCAAAAAATCATTGAATGCATTAAAGCAAGAATTATCTCAAAATGATATACTATTGGAAAAAAATGTTAAAAAATATGTTGATAATATTATAGTGAAGAAATTAGATTTATCAAATTCAAAATTACAAAACTTAGAAGGAAAAATTAAAAACAATATATTTAAAAATGAGAATGACTTTAAAACAATGGTAAATAAATTAGAATATTTAAACAAAACTACAAACTTAGAATTAGACAAATTAAATCAAGATTTAAAAATACTAAAAACAAATTATGAAGCTTTTGATCAAAAAGTTGAAGGCAGTAAGGAACTTTTTAAAAACGAAATTATTTTAATGAAGGATTTAATCGCAACTGGAAATACAAATTTAAAAAACGAAATCACTGATATGTATTTAGGCAATGGTAAAGATCTTTCTAAAGATTTGATTAAGGTTAATGGATCACTGTTAAGTAGAGTAGACTTTTCAGATTCTAAAATTCAAGATATAGAACAGCAGCTAAATAATATTAAAAGAGATGCAGAAAATAATAGAAATTCCGCCAATGTTAAATTAAACGATATAATTAAAGACGTGGCACAAACTTCAGAAAAATTAAATACCATACCGACAAAAATAGAAGAACAAATTTTGAAGAAACTTAATCCTACGATAAATTCTATCAACAGTAAAAGCAACAATTGTAATGATAAAATTGAAAATTTAAAAACAGACACGAGTAATAGAGTTGAAGATCTAAAACGAGAATTAACTCAATTATCTAATCTGGGTGACGAAATTATGAATATAAATTTACAGAAAATGAAGGATAGTATTTCAAATAAAATAATTTTGGATAATACAAAAGTTCGCGAACTTGAAAATACACTTAACAAATGTAGAGATTTTTCCGAAAATAATAAAATTTTAACAGAACAGGGATTACAAGAGATTAAAAGAAACATTTCTGGAATATTCGAGTTTGTTAATCAAGCTTCTTCATCAATTGATAATAATATTCTCAATAAATACAATTCCATATTAAGTACTCTCGACGATAAAAGTAGAGACTGCATGCAAGAAATTGCAAATCTAAAATATAATTTTGACAAATCAAACAAAGATTTAAAACAAAACATATTTGATACTTTTATACCCACTGATAAAGAAATTATTACAAAACTAGGTAATGTCAATAATTCTCTATTAAATAAAATTAGCTCATCCGATTTAAAAATTCAAGAATTGGAGACTAAAATTGGCGAATTTAAAGACAATATACAATATTTTGTAAACAAATATGAACTAAACTCCCTTCAAAGTTCTTTAGATAAAACTAATAAATTCATAAAAAGTTTACCTTCAAAAATAGAAGATGAACTTACTAAAAATATTAACCACTCTCTGAGTTCTTTACAGAAGAATAATGATAATTGCGATAAAGAAATTAACGATTTAAAAGGGGATGTGAAAAAGAGTTTCGACGATATAAGAAAGGAAGTATTTACTACCTTCTCTTCAACAGGTGAGGATTTACAAAAAATAAACAATTCTGTTTTACAAATAAAAGATGCATATAATAAAAAAATCCAATATTTGGAAAATAAAACAAATAGTTTGAGCCAAGCTGCGAAAACTAAAAATCCTTTGTTTGCTAAGGTAGAATATCTTACTAAGCAAGCAGATTCAACAAACAAAGCTTTGGTAGATAATATGGATGAAATTAACAATGTAAAATTTAATCTGAAAAAAATGGCTGGTGAAGTAAATAACTTGAATTCAGATAATAATTCCGAAAAATCATATCTAAGTAATTTGAATCAGACAGTAGTAAGAAATACGAAACTTTTAAAACAACTTGAAGATGATATAAATAGTTTAAAAAATTCAGGAAATATTGCTAATATTGAAATACAAAAACATGAGGAACTTATACAACAAAAATCAGATGATATAAACAAATTGCAAAAAAATCAACAAAAAACTGATAAAATCATCGATGATTTAAAACTAATTGATACAGATACTCAACAACAGTTAAAGGAATTCCAGCAAGAAATTAAAACACTTAAAAACAATATATCTCTTTCAAATAAATTAATTTATGATAGCGACAAAACTGTTATAGATTTAAGGAATCAAATAGAGGAGTTAAAAATTATTAGTTTGAAGAAAGAACAGGAATTTACTGAAACTCTTTCAAACTTTCAAAATATACTAAACAAATTTGCAGGTATAGATTTGAAAAAAGAATTGGCCGATTTAAAAACATGTTGTGCAGATAAAGATTTAAAAATAATAGAAAATGACAAAGAGATAAAAAAACTGAAAAATGAGTCTGAAAAAGCAATAAAAGAATTAAAAGCTGAACTAGAACATTATAATGATTTAAATAGTCTCGTAGAACCTGAATCAGTCTAAAAGTAATCTTGATTTTGAAACGCTTTTTATTTGATAGTAGTATTATTATAAATTAGTCTAATGCAAGCCAAACGTATGATTGATATACTATTATAGATAAATGCTGTATATAAATAATAATTGTTTGTAATTAATTTCATTTTATAAAGTTGAATATGTAATTTTCTTAACAAAAACATAGTTCTATAAAATGAGAAGTTAATTATTTACATGTAAGTATTTATACAATTATTAAGCTCTGTGTTCAGAACCATTTCTTGGGCGTTGATTTTGGTGAATCTCGGAAAAAAGCGCAAAGGAAATAAGCGCACAGGAAATATCCGCACAGAAAAAAGCGCACAGACATATAAACGCACAGGAAATAAGCGCACGTGGAAAGATGCGCACACGGAAAAAACCGCACACGGAAAAAACCGCACGGGTATAAAAGCGCACAAGGAAAAAAGCGCACATTGAAAAAAGCGCAAAGTACATGTAGTTTATATCTCGTTAAGAATAGGATACAGAACAACTGAAGATTCTCTGAATAAAAATAAAAAAATTAAGTTCTATGAATACATAATCAAAAATTATATCGGTGTGAAAAGTAACCACCAAATATGCGGACTTATATGGAATAAAAATGTATTACACTAAAAACCTATATGCATTTTTCGTTTGTACCTACATTATTATATAAAAAAATATAAACACAAATCCATGAATATATTAGTACAAACAGTTGGCGATTATAAAATTAAAATAAAATCAACATGGAATTGCAAAAATATTTAGGTTTTAAAGATATAAAAAAATATTTACCTATAAAACTCGCCATTTTACAAAAAATGCAAAATCATTACAACCGGAATTTCATAAATATAATTATTACAAATCATTAACGATTATAACATTATAAATGGAAACAATGATCAAAAATCATAATAGAACTCCAAAAATATTTTGAACCAAAAACCAATTCTATTTATCAATAAAAAATATAGTACACTTGTCTGAATTTTAAAATTAGCGCGAAACAAAAATAAAACCAGTCTTCAGTAACTTACTAGTAACTTACTTATAAACGTAATTTATTATAAAATATGAAATAAAGTTATTATGACAGAATTCCAAAAACCTAACGTATTCTACGAAGATTCTTAAATTTTGAAAAATTTTAGTTTAATTCAGGTTAAGGTCTATAATAAATAGATATTAATGATATAATCCCTAATTACCTTACAATATTCAAAGAAGATTGTTAAATTTGCAAAACTTTTATCTAATTAATGTAACGGTCTATAATAAATAGATATTAATGATATAATCCATGAGTACCTAACATTATTCTAAGAAGATTTTAAATGTTAAAATATTAGGCACAGTTTGAGTTTAATTCGTGTCTTTATTTAAAACGGTTCGACTATCAATTCTTGTAAATGCCGTTTAGTGACCCTTTAATTATTTTCGAAAAATTTCGTAAATTTCGCCAACTTAAATGGGAAAAATTAGCTGCCAAACTGTTTAAACATCCATGCATATGCAAATGAAATGTCTGTTTCCGTTGCCTTTTGCTTGTTAAAAGACGAAAGTATACAAGTTACTTGAAACTGCAATGTGGCAACTTATAAAGAAAGAGATTGACGGCATGGGATTTATCCTGAATTAAAAATTATTAACAAAAAATCAACTAATAAATGAAATAATAAGTACCTATCTTAATTTTATAATCTCTAGTAAAAATAAATGACCACTTGCAAATATTTCGTTTTAATTAAGATACACACTGTATGAGATAAGTAAAATATACAGCATAATTTCCTCGCGGCGAAACTGATCCTTATGATTTTTAAAAGCGGATTTGGTGGAATTAGTCTGTCCTCAACAATCCATAATGGAAATATAAATACTATAAACCGTAATAACTTTATTGTGAAAGTATTTTAAGAATTTTTTTAAACTTGTCTAATATTTTTCACCTGGAATATAACAAACCAAGGTACAGATCTATTCTTTGTATCGTACTTATAATAATTCCAAATAAATAACTGAGTAGATTCCTGAATTATCAGCAAAAATTATGGTAACTACTATAAACAACGATAATTAAAGTTTTAATCAAACAACAAAAAATTGTAACAAAATATAAATATAAACTACATGCACTTTGCGCTTTTTTCAATGTGCGCTTTCTTCCATGTGCGCTTTTATACCCGTGAGCTTTTTTCCGTGTGCGGTTTTTTCCGTGTGCGCATATTTCCTCGTGCGGTTATTTCCTGTGCGCTTATATGTCTGTGCGCTTTTTTCTGTGCGCATATTTCCTGTGCGCTTATTTCCTTTGCGCTTTTTTCCGGTCACCGATTTATTTTGGTTTATTCGTCTGATAAATTTTTAGTATTTTACATCGAAATATCAAAAGGAACCAACTCTTTCATATGTAACATGTTTTTCTTTGACATCTTTTAACCTGGCTATTCTTTAATTGAGATTTAGCCCTTCCTACTCCTTGTAGAGTGGGAATAAATAATTTTATATTGTTAAACATTTTCTTCAAGTATTCCCTTTAAAATTTAGTACCTTACATTTTACTTTTAGAGTGGATTTCGCCACTTTGAAATCGTTTTGGTGTCCTTTGAAAAAGCGTTTAACTTTTTAATATTTCTTAAATTTTAATATTAATTTAAAACTTAACTTTTATATATTAGATACATCGGCATTGACATTTAAACGTGCTCATTGTATCCTTCTAGGACTATATGTGTCCTATCCCAGGAACAGTGAATTATGTTACAATAACAAAGATAATAACTACGAGCGATTTTAATTTTTTTTTTATTAGGTGTACGGCTTCAACATCTAAGGTCATTAGCCTAGTGTTCTATGTAGGTTATGGATTGTATTAGTAGTCTAATACTCCATAGTGCAGGAGTATTAGTACTCTAATACTCCTACACCCCTACAGACAGGCCTTGTTACTGTTTCCTTGCGCCACTTTAGGAACAGCACTGTTAATTAGAACCCAACAGTGAATGGTCGAGTGGGGAATCCTACCAAGGCATCAGAATTAATTTTAAATAATTAAATTAAATAAAAAAATCCCGGCCAACGGTGGGATTCGAACCTGGGACCCTTGGATCCACAGGCAGAGACTCTACCACTGAGCCACCCACCCCCTTGATTTTAATTTTAATCTAAACTGATATTTAAAAAGATAAACGTGAATTTTCCAAGGCCTACTTTAAGCATTTTTTGTGGATCACTCCTTATAATTTATGTAATTGCTTTTTTAATATAGTCAACCGCAATCGGTCTAGGTTGTCACATGAGTGGATATATACTAATAACATATTTTTAATAAATTAAAAGTTTAAGTTTTAGAAAATTTTAAGACTTGCCTGCACATTTCACTTCAATATTAAACCAGCTATGTAGGTATGAACAACTGCGGAGTACTCAAGCTCTGAATTTTATTGTTTTATTGTACACTATGGTGTCAATTATATTATAAACATAAATAAAATATATCAAAGAAGTGTTTCTAAAATATACGCATACTTTTTTGCACTAATATTTTGTAATATAAGAATATGAAACGATTAGAATTGTTTATATTATCTTGTCCCGTCCTAGTAAATTTTAGGAAGTATTGAACAAAGATTAATGCTATTGTGATAATAAACAAACCTAATAGACAAACCGGTAACGACAAATTTTTTGCTACGTTTTTTAATGTATGCATCTATTAAGTTATGATTATTATAGATTTTTAACATGTCCTAACCATAGTTCTCAGAAAGTCTAGATACCGTCGTGAAAACATTTTGAGCCCCAATATGATGGGCGCCATTATGGGTAAATTTTAAGTTGGCACTATGAAGACTAGAGAAAATGAGGCGAATTGGCAATGGTCAAATTTAAAATTTCCGTCCCCCTTTTTATAAAGTTCGCGAAATTAACTGTAGTTGACATGTCGAATAATAGCGTTGTCAATTTTCTATGTAAGTCAATTTAAAATGAAGTGAGTTTTTAAAAAATTGATGAAAAGAATCAAAATAATGTGAAACAAGTACCTGAGTACAAGTAACATGAGTGACAAAAACCATCGAAGCAAGATTTACGTCGTTCCAGATTGTTAAACAGGATACAAATCAAATGTAAAACTAAAGAAAACACATACAGTGAGCATCATAAGTCTTACCCCCCTAACTAACTCATTACTGGAGTCTTGTTAGGAAAATCGCCGAGACAAGTCGATTTTTGTTTTCTACAATGTACATTTTTGTATGAATAGTTTACCCTTAATTTCATCCCTTACTGGAGGGGAGCAACCCTTTTGAAAAATTTAAATGGCATGGGGTTGTGAGTGATAGCTCATTTGAAAGGGGGTTTTATTCTCTATTTAACCGTGCAAAAACATTTTAAATTTACTTTATTACGTGTTGATTTATTAATGTTTAAGAATAACAAAACATCATAAATAGGAAAGCAACTTAACTAAGAATTAATGAAGCAAATTTCAAAATGTTTTACATAGTTGAATAGAGAATAAAACCCCCTTTCAAATGAGCTCTCACTCACCGCCCCATGCCATTTAAATTTTTTAAAGGGTTGCTCCCCTCCAGTAAGGGATGAAATTAAGGGTAAACTATTCATACAAAAATGTGCATTTTAGAAATCAAAAATAGACGTGTCTCAGCGATTTTCCTAACAAGACTCCAGTAACGAGTTGGAAAGGGGGGGGTAAGACTTATGATGCTCACTGTATATAAATATAATATTTATTGTAAACTAGTCACAATACAGTATGGTTCAAATGAAAGGAATAAATTCATTATAATGGAAATAGTTGGTTTTTCGAAAAAATGCTCGGACAGGTTAATTTTGTTTACTCAAAGCGCAATTTTTTTAAATAGAATACAATTTTCCCCCACTTCCCATTTTTGGGCAGTGACGTCATTGACAATTTTTTTAAATAGTAACCCCAATTTTTTTTTTCTTGATTTTGTTAGATCTTGCAATTTCCTACTCGGAAACATAATATTTGAAATATCTTACATAACAATTTTTTTTGAATAAAAGTCATTTAAAGATCAGGCACATAAATTTTATTTTATTTTGAGAACACAATAAATGAATAAAAGATAATTATTTGTAATTAAGTGCCTAATCTAACAAAATAATAATACTATTAATAATAATAATAAAAAAGAATTTGTGAAATTGTCATTAATTTCTTTTTATTATTATTATTATTTTTTTTTAGATGAAGCACTTAATTACAAATAAT